TAATTTCCCACTTTTAATCAATTCTGCATAGGTATTTTTAGTGATTGCGAATGAGTATGTCTTATGATTTTGATTTAAATTGATTGAATATATAGTTAATTCTAAATCATTTGAATCTGTCTTATTTTTCTATAGGATTAGATATTAATCATTAGAATTTTCAATATATAGAATATCTATTATAGTAAAGGGTAAGATTGATATATTATAATTGATATCATCAATAATAATAAAAGCATCAGCATTTTTACCTTTCAGTTTTATTAAATTACCAACTCTCATTGTATCTGCCATATTAATTTAATCAATTTTTATATCTACAGTAAGATTTGACATCACTTTACAAGCATGATCCAATTTTTCAAAACATTCAATTAATTCAATATTAAGATAGTCAGAAAGTTATGAAACGTACAGGTAATATTACTACTTTATCCAGGTTACGTAATAATTATTCTATTAGTTTCGATTAATTACTTCAAAAATTTAATTTTCCTAAAGAATTACTTAAAAACTTAATATTCTTTTTTTTTCTTTTAAATAATATTGTCTAATACATAATGTTGAGGTTTCATCATTACAAATTAAAAGATCTTACTTAATTTGAAAAGGTCCCTTCAAAATTATGTTTTTATTATTTAAAAGTGTTAAATTACCAATGGGACCATAAAACATATCAGTAATATTTAGTTTCAAACTTTTATTATTTTCAATTTCAATTATAGAGGATTTCATGAGAGAAGATAAATTAAAGCATTGATTCTAAATTTAAATCTTTAATTCAACACCTCCCTCCTCTTTTTAGTTTACTGAAAAGTTTTATGAAATGGTATTTTAATGAAATTATTTTAATTTCAATTCGACTCGAAATTGCTTCAAGAATGAGTACTTCCAAACTTTATTAGAGGAAAAAAATAGAAGATTTGAATCGAATTTAAAAAAAGGGATCATCAGTTGGGATAATTTCATCTAATGATAGCAGAGACTAATTATATAAAAAAATGGCTATGTATAACATTTTATTTTATTCAATTAAAATAGCTAAGTTATTAGTGAGTATTGAGTACTTAACAGGATAATAAAATGAATAGTTCTAAAAGGTGTAATTTTATATTTAAAGTAGTTCTTAATCGATAAAATATTTTAGAATTAAAGAACTAGTTTAATTTTGTATCGCAACTATAGAGTAACAGTCTGTTATGAATTCAGATTGAATAGAAATTATTTGTAACTCTGAAAATTTATAGCATCTAAAATTCTCCGTATTTTATATCGCTAAAATACTTGAATATTGTATAAACTTTGAATTCCCAAACTCAAAATAGAATATAATAGGTTCTGGTTAATAAAGGGTTTTTGATAGATAGCTGTAATTTTGATATGGCGAAGAATTCATTTATATGATAAGAGGCAAATTAGAACTGCTTGTGTAAAGTAATATACTTTAATAAATATGCTTAAAACTTGTAATCACTTCATTTAATTTGATATTGAAATGAGAAAGAGAACCTTCTTTAAAGATAACTCCTCTCATATAATTATTCTTATTTTTGTTTATAAAATAATAGCCTAAATCACATTTAAGTACATAATATTAACTTACGTTAACTTAAATTAACAATTTTTATTATTAGCAATCATAGATTTTAAAAAATGATCCTTATTCAAAACATATGTAGCTATTTATCTTTTCTTTTAGATAAAACTTATCCTAGAAATAAGATTTAGAAAGTCTTGAAATACAATAATGTTGAAAGTCTTAATATTTCTTGATACTTAAGTTAAGACTTCCATCAACACTATAAAAATTGTAAGTACTATTTTTAAAGTAATTAGGATAGGTTGGTTTCCATATTTAATATTACTTATTTTAACAATTATTTTGGAAAATCATCAAATCAGTGGATTATGGTATTTCTTTCTAAGTGTTATTTTCGTATAGAATTTTAAAACAGTTTATAATATCATCTTTTCTAAACAAATTTATTTTCTAAATTACATATACATACTTCTACTTAGGTTTTACAACAGTACTTAATGCTTAATACTTATAAAATTATAACACTTTTTTGGCTGAATCATATTAACAGAATAAATTATCAAAATCAAAAAAATACAATGTAGTGTTGCAAATTTGATATGTTTAATTAATTCTAACATTTATTAATACATCTAATTAAAATTGGTTTTAAAGGAAAAGAAGATTCTAATAAAAGTGAATATTATCCATTGAATAGTTCTAATTCAGTAGGATCTGCAATGCTTTTTAAGATTAATCAGATTCATCTAATTCATTGACTAAAATCATAAATAAACATTTCGGTTAAATTAGTATTTTCTGAATTCGATTTGCATATTATATTTATAAGCAACTCATAATTTTGACTTTATCTTAATTGAAATTCAATTACACATACATATTATTTTCTATCAAATAGATAAAAGAAGAAAAATAATTAAAATTACAGAAAGCTACATCATCAATAAAGGACATATTTGATAGCTAACTATCCTAGCACTTCATTTAAGAATCGAATAAAGTATTAGCTTATTTGTTTTTAATCAACAAAATTTTCCATTTCGAACATTGATAAAAAATAATGAAGTATTAGTCATCCTACAATTTAAATTATTTTTTTTTGCATTAATCTTTGATTTGGTCTGAAACATCATGTTCCAAAATTGAATTCACATTTTTTTGGAAAAACAAAGAATATTATTTTAAAGTTGACTATTCGAGACAAAATAAACTCAAACTTTCATCTTCATTTCTAAATAATTCATCACAAAATTCATTAGCTAATATTTTTGTATCTATCCTAATTAATTCACTATAATTAGTTTATTCCTCATATAAAACTAAGTCGAATTCCGTACAAATGATATAATATTCAAAACTAACAAACAAGGAGCACATCAACCTTTTGTGTATTTTATTTTGATTCAAAGATGTGACGAGTCTAGTTAGAATCGGTTCTTCTTAATATGGAATTTAGAATGACTTTTCTACAATTTGTGTATTGATTTTTTGGAGGTTCGAAAAATCTTCTTCATCTCCTTCTATTATACAACACCTTTATGTGAATGAATAACAAGTAATTTAGGATTGATTTTTTAATTCGACGCACTTTGAATTTTAATGGCTAATAAGGCAACCTAATATAATATATATAACTTTCATATAAAATATCAAAATAACAATTAACTTAAAATTGAAATGATTAATGAATACATCCAAAAATATGTAATTTTTATTTAAATCTAAAAATAAAATCAGATACCCTGAAGGTTTGTTGAAGTACTAATCAATGTCATTTCTAAAATATTTCTAGAAATATAGAAAGAAACCACTTGACTATATTTCTAAGCGTGAGCATTTTAGTTTAAAAATAATCATATAATCTAGATAATGAATGTAATAACTTACGATTGAGAATTATTATGGTGCAAACTTCTAATGTATGTCATTCTTTAATTATGCAGACAGATTTTTTAATTTGATGACAAAATTTTAACTTAAAGAAATATTTTGTAGGAAGTAATCTCATTTGTCAGAAATTAGATTACAATTATAAAGATGATAGAGGATGATTAAATTTACTTTAATCAGAACTAGATTTTATTGCAAATTAATTTCTATTAGTTAAGTTTATTTGGATTCACACCTATCCTACTCTTGATCCACTGATTTGAAATTTGGAAGATAAAACTACTGAATAATATTAATGAGGCAAAAATTGAAAGCTTGAAGTGAGTTACTGGAAAGAAACTGAAAATACCAAGTTTGTTTGGATTCTGAGGCACCTTGGATATCATTAATTAGAATAGGTTCTTGACACTGAATACTTCAAACTCTGACATTATGAGGCATTGTATCCTTCAACGAACGCATTAAACCAAACTGCAAGACTCTAGTACTTCAATAAATAAAATTTTTTAAACAAAAGGATTTCGTATTTATTTACTAGTTTTTAAGATTATCAATTTACAATTTATTACACAAAATTGTTAATTCAAAAGAATCCCAAAAAACCATTGATCTTTATTTAAAGGCAATTCCCAATTATATTCCATTTTTTAGCCAACTGCATTCGATTAAGCCAATAAGCAGTTCCACAAAACTCAGTCATTGGAACTGCATACCCACTATTTAGAGAGTTTAATTTAAATAATAGCAATTAACTTTTAATAATACTTTATATTTTTTATAGAATTGAATAATTGGATTCTTTTAAAGTTTGCATTTGGGATCTATAATAAATATAATTTTTTATAAATAGTAATAGAAAACCAATTTAAAATTAAATTATGGAATTTTATAAGGATGAACAAAACAATTAGATAACAACGTTTAAAAAAAAATATAATTAAGATTAAAGTATTGAATTATGGGAATTTATCAAACTTACAAATTTTTTTTCAATACAAATTCTTATTGAAAAAGCTTAAAGAATTATGTCAATAGACAATACAAAAGACATGAGGGTTTTAACTCAACAGTAAAACAATAAATATATTTCAAGTGGAGTAGACGAAATTATAAAGGAAATGAAAATGAAAATACGAAAATAAACTATAATATATCATTTAAAGAAAAAAAAATAGAGATTATATGAAGCTTACAAAAACTCTGAATCAGCAAATTTGAAAAATATATAAGCTAATGCTCTAAAGAAAATGAACAAATTAGAAAAAGCTTAGGTAAAACATTAATTAGCAATTTAGAAAAATCCAGAAGATTCTGATTATTATTTCAACAAAGGTATTCTTAAATATGTATGATTTTTTAGCTATGAAATTAGAATAAATGAACAGATTAGAAGAAGCATTGGAAAACTACAATTTAGCAATTTAGAAAGGCAAAGAAGATTCACGATATTATAATGGGAAAGGTATAACTTCATATGTATGACTTTGTAGCTAATACATTACAAAAAATGAAAAGATTAGAAGAAGCTTTGGAGTTCTATGATTAAGCAATTTAGAAAAATCCTGAATATTCTGACTTTTATAATAACAAAGGTATTTGTTCATATATATGGATGCTTAGCAATTACATTACAAAAATTGAACAGATTAGAAGAAGCTTTGGAAATCTTTGATTTAGCAATTTTGATATCCTTAGGAAATTCAAGGCATTATAATGGGAAGGGTGTATTCAATATGAATTATTTCTTAGCTTAAACATTACAAAAAATGAATAGATTAAAAGAAGCTTTAGAAACCATTAATTCAGCAATTTAGAAAGACTCCGAAGACCCTGAGTATTATTTCAACAAAGGTATTATTCAACAATGTATGACTTTTTAGCTAATACTCTATATAAAATGAATAGGTTATAGGAAGCTTTGGAAAACTATGATTCAGCAATTTAAAAAAATCCGGGGGATCCAAATTATTATAATCGCAAAGGCAATAAAAATATTTATGATTTCTTAGCTAATGTTCTAGATAAAATGAACAGATTTGAAGAAGCTTTGCAAAATTATGATTTAGCAATTTAGTTAAATCCAGAAGATTCTGACTATTATAACAATAAAGGTATAAATTCATTTATATGATTACTTAGCAATAACATTAAAAATTATGAACAGATTAGAAGAAGCTTTAGAAAACTATAATTTATCAATTTAGAGAAACCCAGAAGATTCTGAAAAGTTCTATAACAAGGGTGTATTCATATGTTGATTTGTTAGCCATGACATTAGAATAAATGAACAGATTAGAAGAAGCATTGGAAAACTATGATTTAGCAATTTAGAAAAGCTAAGAAGATTCAAGGTATTTTAATGGGAAAGGTATAATTACATATGTATGATTTTGTAGCTAATACATTACAAAAAATGAAAAGATTAGAAGAAGCTTTGGAATTCTATAATTAAGCAATTTAGAAAAATCCAGAAGATTCTGACAACTATAATGACAAAGGTATAAAAAATTATGATTTCTTTAGCTGATACTTTA